ATCTTCCGAGTTGTTCGGACTCGTAGCGAAAAAGTTGCCCTTAAAGTTGGAACCTTTTCGTTGTTGTATTTGGGCTGACCGATTATTTTATGTTTGGCTGGAGGTGGTCACGTGCCGCTTTCCACTTCTGCGTGACTGATAAATAATTCACGCCAGTAATAACGAGGTAACGAGGGTCACGGGAATCAATCTATTCACCAAAAGCGGAGAGAGGAAAGACGTGACGTCATTCCGAGGTCTGCAGGTGGCTTACGCATATAAATTGAATAGATTAAAAAAGTCTTCCGTAGATATGGGCACCCTATGGTTCGAGGCCGTGTTTCGGAACGTGTTTCTTAACGATAACGGTGTTCCCTGCACCTTGTCGACCTCGAAATTGCTTTCCTCACTGCCCTCTTGAGACGACCACGTTATCGCATTTTCCAAAGCCATTTCGGAATGCCCCATCGTTGCGACACACAGGCCGACGTCGTGCCGGAACGCCTTCGGTCGCAAAGGAAGTCTCGTAGTAAATATTTTTAGTCATTTCCGATCGTGACGTCATCGAACGACTGACCTCATCGTGGTGCGTGCGATCCCACGCGAGTCTTACTCTCCTCCGTGGCGAAATGGCGAACGGCTTCTTCGGGTGGGAGGTCGGTGCAGAGAGGGAGGCAGGCCTCGCTTTCGCCAGGGAGGCAATCGGGACCCGATTCCATTCCATTTATTAATTATTAACAATATTTATTTTATTAATAATATTAATAGCCGCCCAAGGGCTTTTGTCTGCATGACATCATATATATGTGCGAGGCAACGTAATACGCTACAAAAAGGATTGAATTGAGACCCGATTCTCATTCTTTTTTTTTCCTTTTCGTTCTCTTAATCTTAATCTTAATCTTGATCTTTCAACTGCGATGGACCTCCTTTAAGCCGAAGGGCATTTCCTGGCGTTTCTTCTGCCTGGGATACGGCAGGGAACGGAGGAAACTCGATCGCCAGGAAGCTGTCCCTTTCCCCTCGCCTTTGTCCTTTGTGCTTCGCTAATGCGAGGCTCCAGCCGGCAAACTCGATTCTCTGCTTTTTCCCCCCATTTTCATCAGGCAGGGTTTCCTGTTTACCTCGGGCACGTGTTCACATCGAGCGGGATTTCTCGCTTAACTCATGCACGAAATGTTCACATCAAGCAGGATTTCTTGTTTTCCCCTTCCCTCGAGCAGATCTGCGAACTATACGTGGCCGAGTACGAGTTTTCGGTCCTGGACGACGTCTTCGTGATCCACGACGGCTTCAGAGAGGACAGGTACATGCAGAGCCGCGAGACGCGGCTGGACCTGAAGGCGAACGCGATGCGGAGCCGCGCGTTTCGCGCGCAGGTCTCCAGCAAGTATAATCAAACGTCGAGGAAGTGCGAGTCGTGGTTCCTGCATTCGCTGGAGTTCGTGCACGTGGTCCTCGGGACGATCCTCTGAGGATTGGCATCGACGATCGGGCATCGATGAGCGGCATCGACGATCGGGCATCGATGAGCGGCATCGACGATCGGCATCGATGAGCGGCGTCGATGATGGTGGCTTTGAAAAGCGCGTGCCTTGTGCCTCGGCTGTGCGCATTTTAAACTCGGATGCTCAATTTTTGTGCCGTTCCCTCGAGGTTATCGTAGATATGCAGTGGTTTTTCTTTTGTTGCTGTTGCTCGACTCAGGAATCGACGGAAGACGGAATTTCTCCTTCGTCGCAGTTGGCAATAACTTAAAGACTGAATAACGAAGTCTGTCTTTCAGATCCAAGGATCCCGGGGTCGAAGGCGCGATCAAACGTGAGGATTCCGCTCACCTGTGACTGCTCGCATGTGAGTGCCTTTTCTTCGGGCAGGCGATTCGATTCGTGAAGAAAGGCAAATGGTAAAAAAAAAAATGGATTCAAAATTTCCGCTCGATCCGTGGAAGCAAATTCACTGCGAAAATCTCCAGAATCTAAGTCATATTTGTATTTGAAGAATTTTATCATTTCGACGATCGAAATCTGGCATCACTGGACGCGCCGCGAGAATCCAGCCAATCACCGGACCCATCACCGGGCCAATCTCCTGCGAGGCGAGTCCACCGATCGGCCGACGGCGAAAGGGTCTCGAGGCCTTGGGAGTTGGCGTGCCGCTCGCATGCAAGTTCATGAATCCGTCATGAACCATGATTACACGAGCTCATGACTCGTGCAAGAGCTGTCACATGTGAGCAAATTCATGGCGTACGATAGCGGCTTCACGTGCACCTTGAGGAAATCGTGATTTTCCGCCTCGAAGCTCGACTGAGACGTTCGCGAGGCCGCCGGAAACGGAATGGAATTTCCGCCATCGCCAAATTATTTTCTTTTTCAGCTGGAAAAAAAAAGAAATTCCAGAAAGAGTTTGAAAGTTTCAGGATTCGAAAGGCAGACCGAACCCGATCGGCCGTCGTCTCTATACCCAGTGAATATCGTGAAAGGGTCCGTTGCCCTCATGCGTTTGTTGCTCTCACGGGCCTGTCGCCCTCACCCGCACCGGACGACCGTCTGCCGCACGCGAATCCCGTCGACACGGGCAGAAGTCCCTTTTTACACAGTCCGTCCTCACCGATGAGTCCATGTCTTGTGATGAACGATATGTGGTTGTTGTTTGCCCGAACTGTTCCTGGAATATAAAATTTATCTTCGAAAGGCGAGTTGGTGATTTTTTTTTATACTCTCGAAGCGCCTCTAGACGGAAGCTGCTTTTACGCTTGGGTTAAATTCATTTTAAATTTTTTGGAAATTTATAAGAAAATTTTCACGAACTCACGTTCACGTATTCGTTCGTATTTTGCAGATCTGCGAAGTGTACGTAAGCGGGTTCCGTCTGGAGGTGCTCGACTCGGCCTACGTGATACACGACGGCTGGAAATGGGACTGGGCGATCCCGAGCCGGGGGAAGCGGCAGGACCTGCACGACAACGTGGCCAGGTTCGTCCGGTTCCGGGAGGACCTGGCCGCGAAGTACCCGGGGGCGGGGCGGTCGTGCACGGCGGCGATCCTGTCTCGCGCGGTCGAGATCGTGCAATACGTCGTTGGGTATTTTTGAGAATCTCCGGGTGTCGGTCTCGCACAGACGAACTTGGGAGACTGTGATAGTATTTTTGGGACTTTTGAATCTCGGAGTCCGTCGCTTTCTTTGTCTCGGGGATTTGCGGGGTGGGGGCGTTACGGTCGACATTTTCGCGATGAAGGGAACCTCAAAATTCCAACGTGTGATTTAAGTGTGCCGGGTAAACGCCGTCGAAGGGGATCGATGTGATGCCAAAAAATAACGTGAGAAATTTTTTGCCAAGGTACTTCATTATGGTATTCGTATTTTCGGATTTAGTCAATCTGTGTGTTCGGAGGGTGGAAGTTTACGTCGATTCGATGGATCGGAACCAAAGCTAGTGTATTTTGCCAAAGTCATTCATTTTCCAGCTGTGCTGAGAACGATGAGCACTATGTCTAGTCTCTTTGCAAGAGACGTTTATTTGCACGTTAGTAATGCGATAGAATTCGCTAGAATTGTTAGGGCGACGACGATCGTCGTCGCAGATGCCAAATAACTTGCATACCCACTTCCTCGGATGTGTTCTTAGAAACTAGTCCCGAATCGGTCGCTATGGATGCTGAGGTGAATGGCGGTGCTAGGTGGGGGAAGGACCTGTGATGGATGTCGGTGCTAGGTGGGGGAAGGACCTGTGTTGGATGTCGGTGCTTGGGGAAGGGAGGGATGTGGATGCGTCCTTCCATGCGGTGCCTGTTTGCCAGAATGTGATGCGGCCTTCCCGGGCCTTTCAGTATTGCATGTGGATTTCGGTGCTGCTCGAATCTCTGTGCATTTTGAGATGTAAGTTCTTGTTACGAGATCTCGTGCATTGCCAATTTCTTCCTCGTAGATCTGCTTTTCTTCGACCGACTCTCGTTCGAGTTGCGTCGTCGTTGCATTTGTTGTCGAATAAATTTGTTCGCTGGCGAAACTCGTGTGCATCGAGCCATCTCTGGCACGTCTTGCCAACATCGTGCCCTCGGAGCGACAACAGCGGCGCCAACTGATTGGTGCCGATTTGAGGGAAGGGGAATCTCGAGTCCGGGAAAGAACTCGATACATCAAGCTCGAAAATATCACTAACTTTTTCCCCGGTCCAATTAATGTTCCCGGATGAAACTTGACGTCATCACAAGTGAGCTTCACGTGGCAACCTTCCTCGCAATCAGATCGATCCCGTCAGAGGTAACTGTTTAACCTTTTATTTTTAATGAATCGAGGAATTCGACTGTCTTCCCTCAAGTTCTTTGTGGGGAAAAAGATGAGGCACCGCATGAAAGCACTGGGGACCCACGACGTGCCGATCCCTGACACCATCGAAACAGCGGCAACTTAAGTGCCATCTCGCCTCATTCGTGGAATACTCGTGTTTTCGAATAACTGAGATAGATGGCTCGCCCACAGACGGGACCCGCGCTCCCCAAACGCGCCCAATGCGGTGTGCTGCCTGGGATAAACCCGACGTTTCTTGTCCAGCGGTGCACGTCGGTTGCAGCTATCTAAAATGTACATTGATCGTGCTTGCTCATGTTTTCCGATTCGCCTTTGCGACGGGGAATAGGGCCGGTCCACCGTTGTCGAGGAATAAAATACGCTCGAGAATTTATAATAATATAACTAAATAAAATAACACTGTGAATGAGGGTCGACACCGTTTAGGTCGTAACAGAAGATAAACCAGACCCGAAGACAGCCGATCGGAGGTGCATATCCCACGTGCGAAAAAAAATCAAGATCCTAAAGAGACTCTGCACGAAATCATTTCCTGCACGGTTCGGCAAGGCGTGGCAGACAAAACGCCAATTGCAAATAGAGCGGACTGGCCTCGATCAAGTACTTATGAATAAATAATATTTTTTTATAAGACTAGAACTAAATGCCAATGCCAATGAAAAAGTTGGTCGTTTTGCTGTTGCCATGACACCCACACATTCCAAAACAAGTGCACGGACGAAGGGGGACCGTGCAAACAAAAAACGGCGTCACGTGGCTATCTTTCTCTTGAGGCTATCTGACTGTTTTCGTTTTCCCTGATACGCCTGGCTCAACGGTCTCGGAGAATCCGACGGGAACAGCTTGTCTTTTATCTCGGATTTTTCTTTCTTCTTTCTTCGAGACGCAGTAAAACGGCGAGGAACGGATCTCCGCGTCTCCCGATTTCTCACCGTTGCCAATTTTGGCATCGTTGATTCCGATTCGCGATAGGTTATCGCTCGAACGAGGATGCAGAGGAAGCCTCTGAATATGCAATAACGATACGGCGATGATATATGATGTATATATTTTCTATAATGTGGTACATGATATACATGATGCATTCCCGTAAGCTCCACGTATTCCACGATGGCTCCAATTTCAATCCACGCACGAAATGACGATCATTTCAAGATGTATTGCAAGTGGTTACACAAGTACTTCCCTCTGGAGATGCCAGCAACGGTACGCCGGTACTGCGAGTTGTCACTCGACGAAATGATGAGGAAATTTCGAGGAATCTTTCGAGTGTTTTCTCTCTTTTTTTTTCCTTGTTTCTTTGTGCGCATTTCGAGAAGGTTTTGATAGGTGCTAGGCACGGGCAATTTTGGGGCATCGGGTGGGTTCGGGTGGGGATCCGGGCATCGTCGCATTCGACGTCGCGGTCGGAAATGCGGAGAGAAAGGAAATGCCAGATCCCGGCTCCATGGAGATTATCTCTACGACTCCAGATACGGGATGTGTGCAGACACGCTCGTCTAGGAGCGATGAGGGGCACGAGGAGTCCAGTGCGGGGAGAGGGGGAAGTTCAGAGCGATCTCGAAATGAAGAGACGAAGGGGCACGCTAGTGAGGTGCGTGGCCAAGTGCGTCGTCGCCGCTTTCGTCGCTCTCCTCGCGTTCGTCGTGGTGGTGGATTTCGTCGCGATTCCGATCGCGCTGTCGCGGAGGCAGCAGAGACCGGTCGGAACGCCAGACGCCGTGAGTTCCCGCGTCCACGCACGCCCAACCGCGCGACGCGTCACGCCCAAATGCGACACGTCACGCATTAACGCGTCTCATCACGCACAGGACCTGCTCCGAGAGCTGATACGATCCCGCCCCGACCTGGTGCTGGACGAGAGCGGGGAGTTCGGAATCTCGTACCGCCACGTGGAGGGACGGCGAGGCGGCGAGAGGAACTACTCCGACGTGACCTGGGTCACCCTCTTCTCCCTCGAACACCTTCATCAAGTCGCCCAAATCGCCCAGCTCTGGCAGGTAAACCCACGTCCCGTCTCGTGCACCACACGAGGTGAAGCACGGACGCTCTTATCGACGGAGGATCGTCAGATGACGTAGACGGGACGACGATGTCTCGAAATCGCCTTTCGTTCCCCCGTTTTGTCTGTCGGCTTGGAACTTCTGCTGGCAAAAACCAGGCTTTTTGCATCGTTTTCGCAGTATCCGACGTGGTTTTCACTCGAATTGGAAAGCCCCATCATCGAGAGAGCTCGAAATCGATACAGACGCTTTGAATGAGGTCACTTAAGAGATATTTTAAGTGCTACGAAATAATTTACCGATTAAAACAATACTTAAATACCTTTAAATATTCCTTAGAAATAGTAAAATATAAATGTAAAAGTAAGCAATCAATATAAATTAATACTAAAGTAATAAAATATTAATTAATTAATATCAATTAAATATTACAAATAAATCAAGAGTCATCGTCCGTTAGGGGCCGATGTCCGTGTCGGTGCTGGCGGAGACGACGGAAGAGATCGAAGCGACGGCGAGAGCCATCGACTGCCTGGTGGAGACGGAGCCGGCCGTCGCGGATCACGTGACGTTCCACCTCGTGTTCGGCCTGCGGCGGGGGTCGCGGGGGCGGCGGTTCCGCGAGGCCGCGGGATGCGCGGAGGTGCTGGCGTCGCTGCGGGCGGCGGAGGCGGGTGTGAGGAACTTCGCGAGCCGGGAGTTCGAGTTCCCGCCGAACCTGCTGAGGAACGTGGCGCGGAGGAGCGCGGGCACGGAGTTCGTGTTCGTGGTCGACGGGGATTTCATTCCGAGCCCTGGGCTGAGGGCGGATTTCCTCGGGTTCGCCTCGAGGGAAGGACTGTTCGGCAGGGACGAGTCGGTCGTTTACATCGTGCCCGCCTTCGAGGCGCCCGAGGGCTTTCGCCTGCCGGAGAACAAACGGGAACTGATCGGCGAGTGGGAGGACGGAGAGGTCCGACCTTTCTACAGCGGGATTTTTTCCTTCATCCAGGTAAGTACCGTTTTCTAGGGAATGCTCATTCCGAATGTTCGTTCCTGATGAATGCGTGCGTTCGGCAGGGTGGGACAGATTACCCTCGGTGGAAGGCGTTGCAGCCGGGTACGGGGCTGCACGTTGCCTACGACGTCCCGTGGCAATACCTCTACGAGCCATTTGTGATAGCCAGGAATACGGTTCCGTACTACGAAGAACGGTTCCGGCAGTTCGGCTGGGACCGTGTCAGTCAGGTGAGTTGAATCTCTTGAGGGGGGTGAGGTGGGGGGAAGGTGATGAGAAAGTACATCTCTTGTGGTGGATTTTATTTTCCTGTTGACCTCGAAACGACCTAGAAACGACTTCGACACGACCTTGCACCGTTTCGGCTGCCTGGAGCGTGTTTAGCGAGGAAAGGTCTTCGTTGTGATTAAAAAAAAAGAAGTCACCAAAAAAGATTAAAGGATTGTTTTTTCCTGCTATTGTGGGTCCGATTTCAAAGCAATTTCATTGCGAAGATGACTACAGGGTGAGTCAAAAGTCCTGTCCACCCTTGGAAGGTGAATAACTTCTTAACGCTTTATCTCATCGAGATAATGTTTTATCATTCGAAAGAACAGACAATTCTCTATCGAATGAAGGATTATTGCGTTGTTTTGCTCATGGTGTCATTCGGAAATTAAATTCTTAATATGGAGGTTATACCATTGGCACGTGAAAACACTTTTACGGCACCGCATCCAATCGTCTGTTCAAGTGCGAGAGTTATTGTGTCTTGTCTGTGATCAATTCCAATTCATCGAGAATTGAGAAAAGTGGTTGATTGGCCATCCATAAGCCATTTGCAAAAGTTCGACTTTACTCGAATGCGACGGAATGCACGAATGCACGATAATTCAGGAATAAATTCATCGGAGAAACTGTCAGCCGAAAGTTGTTCGCCCGTGACAACTTAATGTTAACAGGACAGGAAACGTAGCAGACCTTCCCCGATCTGGACACCCTCTGACAGTCGGACAGAAAATTAGACAAAGTGCTGCACGTATGTTTTGGGTGCCTATGCATTTATACAACTCAAGATTAGGAATTTCATTTCCAATGGATACTATTGGGAAAATCTTGCAAAAAATCCTTCCTTATATAAAGATTTATCTTGCCTTTCGATTGGTCAAAACCGTATCTCCATGAGATCAAACATTAAGAAGTTATTACTGTTTAAAAGGTGGGCAGGACTTTTGACTCACCCTGTAGAAAACGACGGAATAAGAAGCACTTATTAAAACAATAAAACATCTCGGAACAATAAAATAAAACTGAGACGAGCAGTCGAAGAAAACGCAAGGGATTTGCATTTCCGATGTTAAACAATTCTACTGTTTTAATCGACAAATTGCAAGCATAGAGAGACTCGGACGAAACGACAGATTGTATTGGTTTCAAGACCTCGTGATTACCCGATATTCCTTGTTTATCTAAGTTACCGCTGTTGAGAGCAGGAGCGAAAATATCAATCTTTAACGAGAAACGATATGCATTTTTTTAAATCGCTCTATGTACTCTATGCTGGCCGAGTTAATATCGCTTCCAGGGACTCCACACGAAGTGCAGCGGGAAAAGAGGAATGATGCTGAGGTTTGTTTCCTGCTTAGAGTTGCGGCGTGGAAGCACGACCTTCGATGCGCCTAGCAGACTCAGCTCCATGACATCCACTCGGTGCTGAGTCAGGAGTCGCGCCGCTCGGGTGCTCGCCAACTTTCACACGGCGTGGATGTTCGGTCCGCTTCTGCTCCTCTCAGTCGCGTCTTCCTGCATCCTCGTGCCTCTTGGCTTTTTCGGAAATCGTGCCGTCTCGTTCGAGGCGCCTGTCGGTGAGGCTTCCTCGAACATAATGCATGCAGATCTGGGGAGGAAAAGACAATACCCCAGCGACAAGTACCTGCTAGTACGTTAAGGGTACGTTCGTCTTTGACACGGCCACGAATAGCTCAGAAGTTGAAAATATCGCGCTCAGGTGTGAGCAAGGTGGTGAAAAGACTCGAATTTGATTTACTGCCTCTCGAACTTCAGTCCGCTGTGAGAGGGAAAAAATATGCAGATGCTTATATGAGGCGAGTAAAATCCAGCAATGTGGGGAGTTTCCAACACTCTGAATCATTAATTTAAAAAATTCACCTTCACTCATTGAACCGAAGGGGTATTGCCTGCGGACGGAGCTAATTGAAGCAATCGTCCTTGAGTCTGCAGCAGTTTGTCCGAGCTCGATTGGTTCTGTCACTCTCCAGCAAGTACTTCACTTGTATTGCTGCTTTTCTCATTTTTACATCTGCTCATCGCCATACGGGATGCCGGCAGGCTGTACGCAATTAATTGGCAGAGCCATGCGACCTGCCGGCATCCCGTATGTACGTGTTAATGTTCGGAACGGATGATTGTCGGGAATGGCATGCTGGTCTCGTATGGGATCACGGTTTTTGGGATGGCATGCCGGCGATTATAAGATAGCGTATAACCTCAAGGTCCTGACTTTTTATTTATTTTACATATATGGTACATTGCCTAGGTCACCAACCGACAACAGTAATTTAAGAATGAATGACCTTAGTATCACGGGAAGAAAGGGTTAAATAGGTTCTGGAAGTTGATTTGTTAAAGTATTGATATCAAATTTCAGCTCCTTATCCACGTGCAGTTCTTTTTTTCCCTTTTCACGACGTAAGAGCGTCAATACTGTCCAGGAAAGTCTGGCATTATTGCATTTCGAATGAAATGTGGGCACACGAGCACCCCTGCCTCTCAGCACCGAGTGAAGGAAGCCACCTCCCAGCCCGAGTTGAGTCTGCCAGGCGCATCGAAGGCAGAGCCGTGCTTCCACGATTTCTCGGCTCGATTCAACCAGAATCTAGTCCAGAGTGGTGCATCATTCGCGTTTTATGCTGCACTCTCGTGCAAAGTTTCCAGATGCGATCGTTAATTTGGAATAACGATCGCATGATCCACAGCCCCTCCGCTCCGTATTGGATCGAGAAACACATGGCATATTCCGTCATCGTCGGTGACATGCATCGCATCTGTACAATCACGAAAAAGATCTGGCTTCCGGGCACGTGTTTGTCGTTTAGCAACCGTCAAAGGCGACGAGGAATCTGCCATTTAAAAAAAAGTTAACGCGACAAATGGCATGGTGGGTTTCTTTGCAGATTCCGTCGCCGAACGCATTTCGAAATAATCCATTTTGGTCGCGTCGATCTGCAATTCTATGCACATTCTTGCAATCAAGTTTGAAGGAGAATCAGTTTCCTTTAAACTGCCCTTCTGACAACGTCAATTTGATTCCACCTGTAGAATTCTATTCCACCTGGAGAAACGCATCAATAGTCCACGCTGTGATTTCTGTTTCGAACCGCATCAAACAAAAGCACAACGCGTGTCGTTGAGACTTAGTCGCTCTCGACGACGAAATGTGATGAACGAAATACGAGGATATCTACGGAGACACATGCAGACCCGAGGGACATAAATATGTACCTCTCAAATTTTTACAGTTCCTTGTACATTTCCACTTTGCTGTGCAGTCTCACCGTCCCAATTTTACCTCAGGTAAAAAAAAATTGTTGTAAGGACAGAAAAAGCAGTTTTTTCTTGAACTCCTCGCTGAAATTGCGCGAAGATGCCACGAAAGCAAGGTTCAAGTATCAAATCTTTGCAGTTGTCAAGCACTTCAGATAAAAGGAATTTCTCACACAGAATGAGCCAGAGATGGGGGAGTTGCAGATTTCCCACCTTTTTCGGCAGCCCACTTATCGGTTCTGATGCTTTTTACAAGAGAAAATGAGCGAAAATATGCGCAAATTTGCATATGCACGCACGATCGCACAAAAACATGCATTTGCATAAAAAAAACTCGCGGCGAAGAGCTAGTTGAAGCTTTGGATTCCATCCACGCAGCAATAAAGGAACACGGTGGATCGATGAGGCTCGTTAGGGAAAAAGCCCTTCTGTTATGTTCCCGGTTCATTCCATAATTAAAGAGGGGTTAAAGGTGGATTAAAGGCGGATTAAAGGTGGTAGTGTAGCGTGGGTTTTCCGATTCCTCGTTTCGTCGCGGGCGCGATGGAAAAGTTTCTCTCCGTATTTAAACCAATACCACCAATTTATAAATATATATTTACTTTACTCTAAATATTTAAAATAAAATGTCACTTTCCTCCATTAACTTTAGTAGCTTACGAGGTGGAGAAAGGGTAAATTTATGACGGGGGAAAAAAATCAGAAAAACACTCACATCACCCATTCTATCTAGCTCGTTCGATTTATCCTAAGCACGACAAACGCGTTGAAAAAGTTTCTCAGAGTGTCATTAATGTGAGGCATGTCGCTTATAACGATGGGGTGTGCTGATCATGGTCATGGGAATGGTCAAGGTCATGCGGAATGTTTCGAAGGTCCAACGGGGAAGGACAATCCACACTAAAGGAAGATGATTCAGACGCGATGGATGACGCGGCGAAACGTGGCATTTAAAAATGCCATAATAATCAGATTATCTACGATGTTCTACAGGGTGGGCCACTTAAAAGTAGCCCGCCTCCTATAATACTGCATAGGAGGTAGGCTACTTTTAAGTGACCCACCCTGTACTTAGTTTGATATCGATAGGATACCCAGCGCGACCCAAATGAGTCATTCCGTATCCTCGAGTCGATTCCGTCCATCTTCCAGATCTGCGAAATGCACGTGGCGGGCTACCAGTTCCGAGTGCTGGACAACGCCTTCGTGCTCCACAGGGGACTGAAGGAGGACACGGCCATCGCTTCCAAGGAAAAGCGGGAGGACCTCAAGCGGAACGTCATCAACTTCATCGCCTTCCGCGAGGAGTTGATGGCCCGGTACCCCGGGTCGCCGAGGTCCTGCTCCACGCTGCTCTTCTCCCGGTTCAACGAGCTGGCTCAGCTCATATCGGGGTCGGTGTGATGCGACGTCGCGCGGGTTCGACCGGATCGGCGGATTACTCCAAAAGTCTGTGCAATAAATGGAATGAAATCGAGGATTTCCGATACGGCAGTGTCGCTGGGACGTTCCACCATTTCTCACGGGAGGATTACGAGGATAATACGGGTGAATCCAGAACGGTTCTTTAGCCGGCGGGTCGTGAATGCAATCGTGGATCCGCAGCGTGGCAGATGCACTGTATCGTGGAAATATCGTCGCTCATGGAATGCATCGTGCAAGAAGGACGTGGGACGATGGAAGGACGAAGGAGTGATGTTGAAATGCGCCGAGTGATTCATTTTGCGGTCGCAGGAAATCAAGGCGGGAAAAAAGTCAATGCAGAATGCAGGAAGTGCATGACAACTATTGCAGACGACAATAGCATGTCCCAACGGAGCGCGTTCGGGTGGCTATCAAAGTCAAAACGGGTGATGAGAAACTGCTTCGGCAAGTGTGCGAGTGCCTCGACATGCGTCTTCCATCGCCTTCCCGATATCCCTCAAACCACTGCTCAAATTCTACGAAATAAAAGAGCATGTATAACATAGAGACCAATTTTAAAAAAATTAGCAAAATAAACATGAAAGAATGCACAAATAAATTTATGGCTATATTCTCTGTTTTCAAGCACATTTTCATGCACCGTCTGTTCTCGTCGAATGTTCTGAAACCAGGCTAAATACAAAAATGCTGGTGCTGGTGGAATTCCAGCTCGGATTCTCAAATAATGCAAGAGGTAGCAGCATCAAGAGTAGGCCTGCTGGGAGGGAGACATCTCGGCACAGCTGTAGAGCCTTTTCTATCTTAATGGTAACCTTATGGTACTAAAGATTAATATGTTTCTGACACAAGAGATTAGATTTTTCTGCATTTTCAAGATTTGATATCTAACCTACTCATAGATCTCATAGTGTATCATTGTATCCCCCCCTCCCCCCTGCATGAAGCCATTCTCGAGCATACAGAATTATTGATTCGGATACTTCCCGACTCAGTTCCTCGATGAAACGAGCTTGAATCCAATCCCGCTTACCAAACCACCCGCTTACCAACTTACTCATCATACTCGTAATCTCTTCCTCTACAACAGTGGTTCTTAATCCCCGGGTCACGACCCAAAATTGGGCCAAGCCAAGTGGGTCTCCAGCAGTGTAGGAAAAAAAAATTTTTTCCCGCGAACCTGAGGCGACGAATTGGAATTTCCCGGGAAGAATATGCAAGCGGACTAAGCGAGCCGCCCGCCCGCACGGCTCCGTTCCCGCAAACCACGTTAGCAGGTTTGCAAGGGTTTTCCTAGCCTGGTCTCCAGTGACTGTCCGAACTATCCTTTATGGTCTACACTGTAAAAAATAATGGTTCACACTGCGACCCTTAGATGCTTGTACGCTTTCAGAGCGGTTTCCGGTAATCGAGAAACAATTTGCTATGGTTTTAAGTTCACTTCAAAAACTATTCGACATAATGACGCCTAATAACAACTTTGTAGCTCTTTAAGTATTAAGGATGGTGTTCGGCACGACTCTATGTTTTGCGATCCCTATAACCATTTTTTTTCACGATCTTTGCTTAATGCTTAACTCGTGGGAGCGATCATATGAATATCTCAGATCGTCGCATTGATTATCTGCCGTGTCAAAGCCCGCAGGTAATAACTCCAGGAATTAACCAATTTCAGCTCATATAGGCTTGATTCCGCGTAAATGGCTCTACAAAAGTTTCACCAAAAATGGTTCCAATCCGAACCTTCAATTTTATAAAGTAGAACCGTTTTCCACTAAATCTGCGTAATAGTTACTGGTTGGAGTGATCGTGCGAATGTCCTAGGGAGTAGCGTTCATGTTCTGCCCTGTCAACGCCCTCAGATCGTTGTAGCATCAGGAATCTGTTTCACCTCATCCACTAAAATGGTTCTATAAAAGTTTCACTCCAGAACCTTCATTTTTTTTACAGTGTAGGTCACTCATGCTACCCAAACATGCCTTTCCTCCTATCAGTCTGTTAAATGCTAAAAAAAAAACGGCAGTCTGGATCCTAAGCTTATCATAATCATGCCGAGCTAGCGTTTGGGTCGCAGCCAAAAAATGGTTAAGAACCACTGCTCATCCTCGATCCTCAATGCATGCGTCGATGATCTCGATCATGGTCGGTACGTCATCGGATTCTTTCGTGGAAACAATAGCAGAGAAATCATTTCTTATCTTATCGTGTCGCTGGCGGGTGCGTGTTGTTCCTGAGGGCATGATCGAACGGTGACACATGCTAGGAAGAATCTCGAAAATGTCAGCTGCACCAACTTCAAACCGAGTCGAAGCCTCAAACTAAAGCAGTCATCTTCAAAGGAGGGCCTCAAATCATCAGGTCCTCTTTGAACTTGCTTCCTAATTCCAACAATTCATTAAGTACATATATATTCGCTATGAATCAATGAGCTTCTCTCGGTGTATGCAAGAAGATGCCAGCCCGAATCTATTGAATAGTTTGAAAATTATTTTTCCTAATAATACCTCCCGCAACTCAGATCATCTTGAAATCTCTACGACACTTGAATGCAATTCCGCGAATATGAGGGGGAGCGAATGTAAATGAGAAAATACTGGCATTAAGCATCCCAAAGTTAATTATTTTTTTCAGCGTAAACTTTCTAAACTGTGCAAACACTTTCTCAACGATGAACGAATTTCAAAAAGCCATCTAGGAAGAAACTTCGTGATTGCCCTCGACAGCAATGCGTCACAGCATCATGCACGTCAGTTCCACCTTTGTAGAGCTGGAGCAAGGTTAGGAATGCAGGGCGGGTGGGACAGCGTTGTCATGACAATGCTAAGCTTCATCCAAAGGAATCAAATCTCGGTATCAGAGTTACAGCCTCACTGACCCCACATCGCTGATCTTGCTCCATGTTCGTGGAGCTCCCGCTCCAAGCACTGAAGAAAGCACTTGGAGGCAAGCATCACGAAGATGGAATTCAAGTGCCTGGCGCTGCGCTGCATTGGCGTCGACGGAAACCACGAAGTCACTTCCGGGATGTTCCCCTAGGCGCTATTTCCACCTGTTGGAGCGATGTCCACCCGAGGGATAATCCACCCGGAAGGGAAAATCGTGTGTGCGAATTGCTAGGTGGATTTTCAATGAGGGGGGGACGTCCACCTGGTTCTAAATCCACCCCCTATCCGCCTGGTCAAACAACCAGGTGGATAGGGGGTGAGCATTTTGTGAGGGTAGGGCGAATAGAAAAGTACTTCGTGTACGATTGAAAAGAGGAGCTAAGTTGTTCCAAAAGGACCAAACGACTTTCAAACGACGAAAGATCTCCAATGAACAAAATTGCTTTAAAGCAAAGCTTGAGGCTTTGAGTGAGATTTGAAATTTTAAAGTTAACGCCACTGGCATCTTTCGGATTCTTCCTAACATGCGTCAGCATTCGATCACGCTCTTGAGGAACGACAGGCGGAGTTTTTCGCGAACCATAGACATACTGCATAACAGCACACTAACTAATTTTGTCTCTTGGCTTCAAGAACTTGCAAAATCAATCAGCCTCTCAATTCTCCCGATCCTACTTTATTACTTTTTATTCCCTTACTTTATCATACTTTGGTCCTCAGTCAACTTAGAAGCAATGGGACATTTCTCCACTGACAGCAGTGGTGGTGTCCCATTTAATTCCCTCCTGATAGCAGAATAGCTTCACGGTTCTTTTCGGTGTATTTGCACAGCCTAGTTTCTTTCGATCCCACCCATACCAAGCGAACCAGAATTATTACATGGTTCTCTCCGAGATCTCTCTACCGTCGGGCAAGTGATTAGTATGAGACCTTTTTAATCAGTCCCAATATAATCCATTCTCTAGAATACAGATCCGTGAATTTCAGAAAAACCTTCCATAAATTCCCTCCCAAAATTCGAATTAAACATCCTTTCCTGTATGGCTTCATGAGAAAACTGCTACAATGTGGATCTTTTTATCTCATAGAACCCAATCTACTTTTCGTCGAATCTTTTCTCCCCCTCGTACAATTTTGTCTGGGGCACCACAAAGATTAAGCCTGGGACTCTAGTTTTACTTCGTTTCTTGGCTTTGTAATAAAATTATTTTTGCTTAGAACTCGCTATGACTCCTCTTGAGAGCTCCTTACATATTTCTATTTCCCTATTATTCCCCTACGTTCGGCGTGGTTCCGATAACTCCAATGATGCGGAGTGATATAAAATAAAATCACCTATCTCTCTCGAGATGGAAGCAATACAAATGCTTCATCACATAAATATTCTGACCTCTCCCTCCTATTCGAAACACCCATAAAATTATTCACTCCGGTCTTCTATCAGTGGTGAGCCTCTGAAAACAGTCGCGCCTAGAAATTAGAGATACACGGGGTTATATGTAAATTCCCTAAAATCATTGGCCAGATTTACAATATTGAGACAGTTACTATTAAATGCCATCGCCGTTCACTCGAACAACGCTCATCGTAGTACATTTGTAGCTCGTTAGCACATTTACCATCGTTCCACTACTTGGATCACCACGTCCTGCGACTGCTCCTCTCTCCTTCAGACAATCCAATGTAAACCCATCAGAATTTTTAATCAGGAGGAGAACTTCCGTAGCACGTATGCTCCAATGCATTCAATTCAATCCATATTGAAAGAAAGTTCCAATATCCTTACTTTCAGTTTCTATTCCGATCAATCAAATTCACAATCATTCTTACTGCAAACCATGCTTGGACGTTAAGTGAAACACCTCTCCTGCGTCCCAACCCCCTCGACAAACTTCGACCTATCACTTCCCCTAACTCCGAATCACGATCGGCCCTAGCTATTTCGGCGTCCTGTGCAAAGTGATTCCCAACGTCCCCCAACCCTCCGAAGGGAGGAGGTTCAATACCTAGTGTCCAAAATTTCACTGAAACGGAAGGCATTTCCACTTTAAACTTGCACCCTGTGCAAGTTGTGGCACAAGCCTAAGGCCGGCCCTGCTTTGAATACCATTACCTAACCACCCACTCCATCACCCACTTACCCAGTCTCCCCTCATCACAAACTCACCACATCCTTCATATCGTCCAACCACCCACCTCTACCAACCTCCCATCACCCAACCAGACACCCTATCTACCTCCCAACTCCAGAGAATGCAAAAACCAGGCTAGTTGTACCGTTACACAGTATTATCCTGAAGCTTACACGTAGAATATGCCAATGCTATGGTATAATTATGAAAATTATAAACACACTAGCATACACAGAGCAATACACCAACTGCTCCTCTATTTCTGTACATGGTCTAGGCCCTTGTTAGGTCTAGAAACTCACCAGAGGCGTCGCTCATCACTCACTTCCACCGCAATAAAACGAGAGTATCACTTGGACATAACGCTTCACGCATCATACAACGACGAGGGGACCACGAATGCGAAATCGGAATCTGCGCAAACCGCGCACGCATACCCGGATTACGTTAAGTCCACGTCAAGACGACGACGCGATTTTTTGAATGGAAGCTTCTAGAAGGCTAGCTGCCATGGGCTTTTTGGCATTTTGCACACGGTCCTCACACGCAGCTCTTCCCTCTGTGAGTTCGCCGGGCTCTCCTCGACG